TAACACTACAGGGTATTGCATCCCCAGTCAGCTGTTCGGTCGCTTTTACTACGCCTATCTGCTTGCAAAACAAATTATGAAAACATCTGTGAAAAAAGTTTCACTCCATTTTTTGTGTCCCGCAGAACAGATTTTGCTCATTTGTTTGGCTGACTCTTTTATCCAGAGAGCCTTCCGTTTTGCACCTATTTACACAGCTGGGTGTTTTACTGGAACAGCTCAGGTGAAGTGCCTGGGTCAAGGGTACAAGAGCAGTGTCTCACCCACGACCTTCCAGTGATGAGTGCAGAACCCTCACCACTGCTCCCCACTGCTGTCTGGGAGGTGTTCTTATTCCAACATGAAGTAGCAAGGAGGGTGTTGCTAAAATGAATCTGCAAGTGACTTGTTTCTCAGGCCACTGGGAGGTTACAGGGAAGACTAAAGGGGAGACTACATACTGAGGGGAGAATCTGGGACTTTAGTTGTTTGAGTGCTGCTGCTGTTCTGTGGCCACAGACTCTGTTATGTGTGCCTGACTAGGACTAAAGCTAAAAACCGTTTAGCAAGTGGTGTTAGCTGCCAGCCACCACCCACGATGCTGAAATGTTTATGATCTTAGCTTGATGGCAATGGCATTTTGCTGGCCCACAAAAGTGCAGAAAGATTTCATTTGGTAGCTGTTCGCGTTGCACATTTTGGCTTTGATCAGTGCAATAACAGGGCATTGACCGCTTCCCATAAATCTGAATTGTCAGTCTGATCATTTAAACATTTTAATGGCATGTGGTGTCCGCTTCTACAGAGAAGGAAGATTCTGTAATGCTGAGGTACTGAAATAGGCACGAGTAAAGAGAATGAGATCAGAGATGCCCTGAAAGAGGGTTTCTTTTTATCTTGGCTTAACCGCAAATCAGTCGAGTTTGATGAAAATCAAGTAGGATCTACCGTGTTCCTGTGAGTTCATTTGCTTGGCAGAAGGTGCCGCAAAACAGTGTTCAGCGTATGGCCTATGTCTCTTTAACTCTAGCTTCCAGCCCAGTAAACTCACCTTTACTGGAGAGCAATGTTTTGAAGTTGAAGCAATACCAATAAAAACTGATTTTGTATTCGTCTTTCAAAGTGAGGTATTAGGCAGTGTTTTTGTGTGTGTTTCTTTTGTAAGTCTCAGTTGCTTCTACAATTTCCACATTGTTCCCTGCTCAAGCTGTCTTTATAAATAAGGTTCTGTTCTTTGGCTTATTTAATGCAGTTCTCCCTATAAATCAATACCTGTGGTTAAATGCAAATAAACCTCAGAGGATATTTTATTTACTTTCAACAGTAAGCGGCCTGTTTCTTTCTCTTTATTTATTACTCTGTAACAGAAGCCACTTGCATTTCCATTTTTTTTTTGCTTTGTTCCTTCTCTGATTTGGTTCCACTGCTGTGTAACATACAGGTAGCTCATCTCACCTTTTTTTAAGGAAACTGTTTTCAAGTGAGTGTTGAAGCTTAATGAAAAACGGCCAATAAAGATTCTAAACAAAGAATATGGGAAGGTGTGCAGTGTGGCCTCCAGAGGGCCCTTAGCTGACCTGTCTGTCCTGACACGTCATCCGTTCCGGAACCCCTTGGGACAGGTGTTGAAGAGGGTTCAGACAGTGTCAGCTAGTGCGGAAGCCAGTGGCTTTATAAGGATTCATTCCTCCCAGGAGTTTCTTGTACACAAGTGTCCTTTATAAGGTAATGATTAAACCTAGGGCAACGTATGATTGGTTAAACAGCATCACATGACTATGCTGGAATGTGGTATTAACCAGGGCTAGTAAGCAAATTTAGCCTAATCACCCTTATAAATCACTGCACACCACAACATTCCTGATTTCGGTTAGCAGGAGACATCTTAGATGACAAGTGACCTTCTTTCAGTTATTTCCTTCAGTTATTTATCATCCTTCAAGTGACAAGCCATGTTAATAATGATTACGGCTAATTAAACTTTTTTCAGGACAAGCATCAGATAATGTTGTTGTGACCAAACCAGAGAATTTCCTGTTTTTGATTTTCAGCCCTTACTCTCCCAGATATTAAAAATAGGTACTTTGTGGTCCATAGTCTTTATTTTCAATGGGTGAACTTCATGCAGAGCAGTGTTGGCCATCTCAGGAGAAAAGAAGATGTCTTAAAAGCAGTGACTTTCTTAGGGGTCTTGCTGAAATATTGGTAAAAACAGTAAAAATACAAAAATCCTTCAGTAAGATTTGTCTGCATCTACGTGATCAGCATAAACTGAAAGAATCAGCTTATTCACCCTTCATTTCATGTTATACAATCAATAACCATATTAACTACTGTGCCATTATAAAAACAGCCATTTTCCAAGTTTCTTTACATTTGCAGATGTAAAATAAAATAAATTGCTTTGCCTTCGAAACAAGTGAAGTATGCTTTTGTCGGTCTTGGATGTGTACCAGACATCTCTTTTTTTTTTTATAACTGCGGGGGGAGTAATTTTCAATTGCGCATTTCAAATAAAGATGTGTCGTTTTGGTGGTTCCTGCTTTCAAGCTGGTCATGCAACTTGACAGCCACTTCCAGTATGCGTGCCAGCGTGTCAGCAGGATCATGCGCCCTGCCTTTGTTTCTCCTGAAGAGGCTAATGGGATTTGCCTTTTTGCCTGCTCTAGGTCAAAGTGGGCAGTGAGATAGCCACGGGAACAGGTCCCAATAAAAAGGTGTCCAAGAGGAATGCTGCCGAAGCCATGCTGCTCCAGCTAGGATACAAGGCCTCCACCCCAGCACAGAGTCAGCCAGAGAAGGTGGGCCACCCTGCTGCATGTTAGTCTCTCATGGTACTTGTTTAATCACTTTCTATTCTTATTTTTTTCTTTATAGACCTTCTTAATGCTCTTAGTGCAGTAGTTGCTTATTATTATCTTTATTAGACTCAGATTTACTTCCCATCTTCTTGAAAAGACATTACCCGTGTGTGGTCCTGCCTGCAATCAAAGACCGAGACCTTGCCTTTGATTCTGAGATCAAATGCTATTCCTCTGCTTGTAAACAGAACCAGAATCGTCCTGTACAGACTGTATCGTAATGAGTCCAGGCCTTGAAGTGCAACCAGAGGATGCTTTTTCCTGTGTTCATTATTGCTGTAGTACACAGGGCGAGATGATTAGGGAGCTAGTGTCCTTGGTCCTGGAGGGCCATCTCTAGTCAGTCTTACAGGGCACCTGTTTTTATGACTGGTAAACTTTGATGAATGAAGGAATTAATCCGTTCATTTAAGAGATGTCCTGGTCCTTGAGGAAAGAAGATTGCATGGTGAATGGTCTCGAAGCTTCTTAATTTAACAAATGGCCTGTTTAATTGATCACAGTGGAATTATTACACATCTTCAGAAAATTATAATTTCACTGGAACTTTGCAGGACCCAGGTTAGAGACCCCTGTACTAACTGGACTGGGGCCTCAGCACCAGGGT